AAAAATCAGAAAATATTAATGAATCAACTGGGTGATATTTTTAATCATGCCAGATTCACACTTTCAGTAATTATTCATTTTCTATAAGTGACATATGCAAAACTACTCACAGTCTTGGCACTAAGGTGTACCATACATCTAATTGTCCCCAATTTAGATGTCTGAGTTCCCTCTAATTCTAGGAGTTTTTGTTTTATGTATCTATATCTATATATCAAATCTTGTTAACTTCTCCACCACTATAACTACCTGCTGGCTTAAGGAGACCAGGGTGCCATAACCTAAAGACAAGTGTGTTTGATTCCTTTGAGCCAGCAAAAACTCTTGTGCAGAGTTGGATAACAGTTGTCTATTTTATAGAGTTTTTATAAAAATTAAATGAATTAAGTATAATTTCTGTAAAGATTTGTATTTTAAGTAGCTGAAATGCCTAATCAAAGTAAATAGACATGAAGTGTAATGCAAAAACCATATAGCTTCTGTTGTGAGCGTCCTCATGGACTGACTGTCTTGCAGCTGCTGTCTTTGGTTGGGCTCTGTGCCTCCTTCTGAGAAATCACCATTTCTTGTGTTTGGCCTCCTCTGTGGTAGATTGATGGCCAGGGCACTTGGGGCCAAACCCATGGCTTCAGGGTTAATGCATGTGTGAGAAAGAAATTATGTTGCATTTATATGTACCATACTTGGAATGGCACAATGCAGACCGTAATGGAGAAAAAAAGAGAATAGAAATAAATAAAATAAAGAAGCACTATAAAGAGATTCAAGTTTTGGAAAGAGGGCAGATCTGTAACAAAAGGAATGCAGTTAAGAATAGTTCTTCCTACACTGCTTCCTGCTTGGGCTTCATCTGCTCTTCAGGGAACATGACTTTAGTGAAGCCCCAGTTGAAAGCTTTTGAAATGTAGTTCCCATGGCAACAGGTGCTGAAGTGACATAAATCCAGGGGAACTTTTCTTGGTTGTTCTACCATCCAAACAAGAATCCTCTAAGGCTCCTAGAGAGAAGTCAACTTTTAATGAAGCTGACTTTGCTTTCTGTGTCCCAGGGAGCCCTTTCCAGTGGGGCTTGTTTCAGGTTTGCCATCATGATTTATTGTCCTTAATTGTGAGTTGACTACAGTGGGAATAAGAGCGGGGGTTGGGACTTATCGAGATCACCCAGGCAGTGGTAAATCTCTAGACGTGCAAATTAAGCTCCAGCCCTCTTGTTATTGAGCTGTGATCAAAATACAGCCCATGTGTGGAGGAATAGCAAGCTCTGGTATGTGCAAATGTCGCCCAACACTTACACACAAAACACATACTGTGTTCGAGAGGGTTACACACAAACACACACATATACACACAGGACTGTGTTCTAGAGGGTTTTAGGTCACTGCTGAGAGAGGGGGTGGCAGCTGCCAGCGTACCTCTGTAACCAAAATGTACCTCTCACCAACGGGATTTGGTCACATTTTATAATCAGATGCCTGGTTTTTGGTTAAGGACTTTTTGACCTCATTAAAATACACCCCTGGAAGAGGGTGTGGATTGTGTATGATCTCCAGTAAGCTTTGGTAGGCTGTGTTGCTGAACTTGTGAACGCTTTGCCAGAAATGAAGGTACAGCAAGCAGTCAGCCTGTGTTTGGCGAACAGGGCTTTTCATTGGAACTAAAATGGGTATAGGAAGAAGAATCAGACGGTACAAGAAACCTTATCTGACTTCCTAATTTGGCCTTCGAGCTTTGTCATTTGAAAAGTCAAGCACAAGGCAAATCGTGTAAGGACTCTTCCCTCCGTGGCCCCTGGTAGGTCCAGTTCTCTAGTCAGGTTTCTAGGGTTTGTTCTTAGCTTGGATCATATCCCCTGCTTGGTATCTCACTGTTCTACATATAAATGATATCATTTGGTATTTGTCTTTCTTCTGATTTATTTCACTTAGCAACAACCCCTTCATCTCCATCCATGTTGCCTCAAGTGGCAAGAGTTTATCTTTTTTGATAGCTGAATGGAATGCATTGTGTATATCTACTACAACGTCTTGACTCATTCCCCTTTATTTGGGTACTTAGCTTGTTTCATTATTTGGCTGTTGTCAGTAGTGCTGCAATTCATATAGGAGTGCATGTTGCCCTGTGCATAAGCCTTCTTGTAGTCTTTGGGCAGCATGCATCCGAGAGTTATGAATATGTACTGCTGAGTCATATACAGTCTGGTAAACCAATGTGACTTCAGTAAAAACGAATACAATTTTCAAAAACCATCTAATCTTTTTGTTTGAAAATCTAGGTATACAACTGAATTAGATAAGTACATGCTTATTAAAAGTCAATTTTCTTCTGGTCCAATACAGATATAAGAAGTCTGGATCTCCAGGGGTAGCAATTTATAATCTGTTTTCTCTTCTGGACCTCTTCTAGGAATCTGAATATTTTGCCAATTTGAGGGTTCACTGGTTTTCTGCCCTACATCTTTCAGACAACATTGAGGCCCAAATGATCACAGAGTAGGTGGAATCTAGAATAAAACATACATCTCTAATCCCTTCAGGTGAAGAGGTTTTCCAATCTTTCTAGAAACCCACCTGGTCTTCTGAAGCCCACTTGAGAAGTTGATTCTAAATTTCTATTCAGGGAAACAGTTCAATATCTCACCCTTATGTTGACTTTTCTCTGTCCCCTATTTTATCCTTCCTTTTCTCTGAGATTATGCCTAAATACGCACTACCTGCCACTCAAGCCCTTGTCTCCCGTATAGCTTTTTGCAGAAACCAGCTAAGACACTCCTAAAACAGTATCTGGAGCAGCCCTGACCAAAATATCCCTTGCACCCCCTCACCCAAAGCTGTTTGATTCCAGGTCAGGAAACTAGGTGTGAATCACTAAATTTATCAACTGCCTGAAACTCCATATTACAAAGAATTGTTGACTATTAAATATGCCCTAGCAAAATGTCAAAATAGAATAGAATTTCAAATCATTATCAGCTCACACCTGCAGAGGGACTGGCAAAAAACACTACCATCCTCTGCCCTAGATGTACCACAGCCCTCCTCGGAGCACAGTGACTGTGGCCATTCTCATTCCTCCAAGAAGCATGATGAGTGGGAACTAGGTTCATTTCATGTCTGTATCTTTACAACCAAATGTAGAACCTGGTCTGCAGCAGCTCACAAAGTATTTTATAATTCAAAGGCTGTTGTAGGGTTAAATTAAATCTTAAAATGGCAGAGCCTAGAAAAGAAGCGAAAGCATGGAAGACCCCTGTTAACTGTAATAAAGTATGAAATAGTTACCCCTGAATTTGAGAAAGTCCCTGAGACACGTGAACATAGAAGGACAGCTTGTTCCCTGGGAAAGGGATGGCTCGGAAAAGAGAGGCAGGGAAGCAGATAAGGATGGATTCGGTGAAGTGACAGGAGAGCCAGCTGCAGGGCCATGAAGGTCACTAGGAGAAGCTGGGAGCCAGAAAGAGCCAAGGGCATGGAGATGGACACTGTCAAGGGGAATCCCAGCAACTCGGACATTTTAGGAAAAACTGTCCTTAACTGATGCGGGTTGCTTTCTACAGCCAACTCAGATCTTAAGAAATGACTGAGATGCTCTTTCTCCTTGGCCTAAATATTGTACATTCTTGTGATAAACTGAGATGTAAGTGGGGAGAGGGTGTGCACCCCTCCTCTGAAGTTGCATGGCATTTTATCTATACCTCTACTGCATTTTATGACTTTTTTTTTTTGCACATGTTGCTAGATATGTTCTAGCTTATCTTTTCCAAGAGAGAATGTCAGGACTTTAAAGGCAAGGACTTTGCTGTATACATGATCTCCTACAGTGACATATTAAAGACAGTGATAAAGAATGTCAGTTAGTTGGATCTAGAGCTCTTATGAACTTTGCAATTTACATCTGGTGAATTGTTTCATTTCTGAAGTCGGGCTGATAAAACACAGTTCAGAGGATTTGGGAGACAAACGAAAATGAAGTATTACATGAAAAATGGTATTGACTCTGGCATACTTGGACCAGTGTATTAATGCTTACACAGAAAGTATGTTGGGTGGCTCTAGCAAGGCTCAATAAGTAGTGATTTTTAAAAATGCTTTGCATTTTACTGAGATGCTCATTGAACAAATAATGTTTTTAAATGTTCATCCAGGTATTATCAAGGGTATAGGCAAACAAATATTCCTTCTTTTTACAAGTTAATTTCTAGGGCAATGATCCCCCCAGGGAATCTCTACTTTGTCTTTTTAATCAGGTCCCTAGATCCTAAGCACAGAATAAAATAGCTCAGGCTACTGTCAGAGGCTGGCACTGGTTATGGGCAAGGATGCCGTCTCCCTCTGCAAGCTGAAAAAAAGCCTCAAGGCAAAGTCACAATCAGATATCCTGTTCTTTAGCTCAGAAAGAATTCTGAGGCAGTCCGAGCTGAGGCTCCAAGCAAGACAGGAACTAGAGGGGTGTGTGCACTGTTAGCACCCGGCCATCTGTCTGAACAATTGACAAAGAGCTGGGCTTGAAGGTACACTGTTGAAGCTCCAGGCTGAAGGAGGGTGAGTGACTGAATTGGGTTGCACTTGCCCTGATTCCCTAGCTTTAAAAGCACAATAGAAGGGCTGGGGAAAGACCTCATTTTTCTGCTCTGTCTGGATTGATTGCGATGGGGGCACTCCAAGCACATTTGGGCCGCTTCCAATCTCTGGGAGAACTCACCCCCAAGATTGGCCCTGGTTTTAGTAAATCTGAAGAGCTACTGGAATTGGAAGGACACAACAGACAAGACCAGAGATCTGAGAGTCTCTTCAGCGCATCCTTGGGACCTTTCCCATCAGCAGCATCTACACTGTATTGTGGGCAGTTCCATCTTCCAGAGGACACTGAAGAGGCAGAGTAACTGGGGGGCTGAGGTCCAAAATCTGTGTGCATTCAGTTCTCAAGAGGAGGGAGGTGATCTCCAGTGTGTCTCTTCCTCCAAGTAACTCTTCCCCTTGTTCCCACAGAATAACTAAAACGAGAATGGCTGCTGAGAACTCCTCCGTGACGGAGTTTATCCTCGCAGGCTTAACTGCCCAGCCGGGTCTCCAGCTCCCTCTCTTCTTCTTGTTTTTAGGTTTCTATATGGTTACTGTGGTGGGGAACCTGGGCCTGATCACCCTGATTGGACTGAACTCTAACTTGCACACCCCCATGTACTTTTTCCTCTATAACTTGTCCTTCATAGATTTTTGCTATTCTACTGTTATCACTCCCAAAATGCTGATAAGCTTTATTTCAAAGAAGAATGTCATCTCCTATGCAGGCTGTATGACCCAGCTCTTCTTCTTTCTTTTCTTTGTCGTCTCTGAATCCTTCATCCTGTCAGCGATGGCCTATGACCGCTACGTAGCCATCTGTAACCCATTGGTGTATATGACCACCATGTCTCCCCAAGTCTGCTTGCTTCTATTGTTGGGTGTCTACATGATGGGGTTTGCTGGGGCCATGGCCCACACAGCATGTATGCTGAGACTGACCTTCTGCGCCAACAATCTGGTTGATCACTACATGTGTGACATCCTCCCTCTTTTGGAGCGCGCTTGTAGTAGTACCTACATAAATGAGCTGGTTGTTTTTATTGTTGTGGGTATTGATATTGGTGTCCCCACAGTTACCATCTTCATTTCTTATGCTCTCATCCTCTCCAGCATTCTCCGCATCCGCTCCACCGAGGGCAGGTCCAAAGCCTTCAGCACCTGCAGCTCTCACATCATGGCGGTATCTTTTTTTTTTGGGTCAGGGGCATTCATGTACCTCAAGCCATCCTCTCTTTTACCTATGAACCAGGGGAAAATATCCTCCCTGTTCTATACCATTGTGGTGCCCATGCTTAACCCACTAATCTACAGTCTGAGGAATAAGGATGTCAAAGTTGCTCTGAGGAAAACCTTGAGCAAAGTACCATTCCTCTGAGAAAGGGGCTTTTCTTTCATAGGTAATTCACCTTCCATTGGTTACATGGTGAATTTTTTTTTTTTTAATGAGGTAATGTTGGTGTACAACACTGTACATGGTTCAGAGGTATAGGATCACACCTCCTCAGAATCACTTCACCACACGGCATGACTACCAGGACACCCAGAGTTACATGGAAGAAATTTTAATTCTTTCTCAAACAAGTTTACATTTCTCACTTTAAACATTCTTTAAGAATGTTTCTTAAAACTATAGGATACTCACATTTAGTGAGCCTTCAGGACAATTTATTTCTCTATTTCCTGAGGTAGATACAGAATGATGTGCCTTCCCCAGGATCACTCAGTTATGCAGCAGCTGAACCATGACTGGAATCCAGACTCTTGATTTCTAATACTGGTTCTTTTCCATCATGGCTCACCTTTTCCTTCCCAAGTCCTAGAAGATACCATTTCAAAAGTGAGCTGGTCTTGGATGTTAAAGTCTGGTTCTGTCTACAGAAATTTCATGCAACTTTTCAAGGGCTAATTTTAAACACCACATTTTTGCAAGAAGGTAGGAGGCATGGGATTTTGTTGAAATGGTCTTGGCTAAATGGCCAGACAAATTCATGAAGAGTTTTTCAGAGTGTGCGGGGGAAGTGTGTGAAGACCCACAGAGCAGCAAACGCCATACCTCCTGAGGAGAGTGGTCTGGAGCTCTGGCGCCTTGGAGTGTAGGGTTTTGGCAAGATTGGGTGGAAGACCTTTTAGAAAATGTCAAGGTTTGGAAGGATTTGGGAATTATTCCGCACAATTTCATTCCCTTGGATTCAAGTTGTGCTTTTAAAGTCATGGTGGAGAAATCTGCAGCTCAGGGTGGCCAGCTAAGGATTTGGAGATTATTTCAGAATCATGGAGACTTTGTGTGTTTAGCCAATAATCAAGCTAGCGCCACTCAACAGCCAGTCAGAAAAGTGAGCACTGAATGCTCAGCTGCAGTGCTGGAGGAGACTGTGGAGTAGCCTCTGTGCATCTCCAGATCAGCTTTCTGCCCCTTGTACCTTTGTCCGCATTCTGGGAGGGGTTCCATAATAGGGTCTCTCAGGTTCCCAGCCCTCCGGTTTCTGGTTGATGTAGGGCAGCCGCAGTGGAAGTCAGAGGACAGGAAGAGGGTGATACTGTGATATTATTTTCCTGACTTGCTTCCAGTTGGGGTACCATGGCAGTAACTGAATCCTTCATTTTCTACCTGGCTACAGTCAGTAACTGTCAAAGGGTGGTTCTGTCTGCTGTTATGAGCCTGGGGAGCTCTATCACCCCTATCTGGTTTTCTCTCACCCACCCTTTTGCCTATATCCATTCAAATAGTTCAGTCGTTGTGCTTTTTTCTACTTTGCTTCAGTAGGTCATTTTTTTTCTGATTGGACCATTGGCCAGGATCCATTGTACAGAATCCATTGTAAAGCCTGGAAGGGTTGCATAAGCCAGATTTGTCAATCCACAGTTAAGTGGTACTGTGTAAAGGGAGCTAGAATTGCCTTTTGGTTAAAAGAAAATTGAGTCGCTAATACTTTTTGTGATGCAATGATAGGTGACACGCTGTGAGAATATTTTTGACTGATATGATTCTCCTATGAAAGTTCTCTTCTACTTGGAAAAATGAAGTTTGATGGCCATATAGTTTTGCCCTTTGAGTTGGCACAAATCAGAGGGGAATTTCAAAAGAATGAGAGTGGAATGTGAGAACTGCGCTTTAGGAAGCATAGATGAGGCAGCATGACATTCTGGTAATCCTCAGGGGAGAGGAGAAGGGCCACCCAAAGACAGAGGGCAGTGACCAGGGAGTTGGAATGTAGAACAAAAGTTAAAGTCTAGCTTCTATTCAGTTGCTGTGGACCTAGAGCACAGCCTGACGTCTCTGAACACCAATGTCTTCAACTTAAAATTTTGTGCAAAATTAACAAAATAATTAAATGCTAAGTGCTCAGTAATTTTTTCTTTTCTTTTTCTTTTTCTTTTTTTGGCTGCAAGATCCTCTCCTACTAGTATCAGCACTGCCACTAATTTACTGTGTAAACTTGGGACATTTATATCATTATTCAAAGCTCATGCCTGCTTATACAAAAGAAATGATTATGCTTTGAAGTTATTTCTACATTCCACTTACAACATAAACATATCTGTATATTGACTTGTTGGTACATTTCATGACATTTAAAATAACTCCCCCCCGCCCCCAAATAATCAGGGGAAGGAAATCTTTTATTTCTGGTCCCTGTGTATCCTCTCTAGGGTCCTCACTACTACTTACTATTCGAATCATTTTTAGCGTCTTTAAAGGTACAGTTGTTATGCACACTTTCTCCCTCCCTCCCTTTCTCTGTTTACAAAGCCAATGAGCAGTTGCTTTCAAATTTGCCTGACAATTCATTAAGAGAGGAGGGGTTAAGAGATAAAAGATTAAAGAGCGCGAAAGCTATTACAGAGGGTCATGTGAGGCCAGGCTTTCTAACCTCTTGCCTCAAACTCGATTTCCATGATTGTGTAAAACTGCACCATATGGATATGTTTTATCTAATGACCATCTCTGTCCTGCTTAGATTATTTCCTTTTCCCCAATTATAAATAATGTTCAATTCTGAATTAACAGACTTAATTAATAAATTTTGAGTTTTCCCCCTAATTAGGATATATTCCTAGGCAGGGAGTTATTAAATTGTATAGGATCTTTGAATTTTATTGCAAAACTCTTTTTTAGGATTTTATCTCACTGTGTGATCTCACTGCAAATAAAACTGCTTGCCTTACCGACTCTGGCCACATAAGGCACTAATAAGGGAGCTACTGGTGAAAGCTTGTTACCTTTAATTTTGGTGCTGGCCGTGTTTGTCTTACTGTTTTCTCTTTTATACTTATTTTGCTCAAGTTCATAAGCTTCTTGGGGTACCTGGATATGGACTAGGAAGTACAAGAAAAGAGGGAGCAAAACTGACAGTTTTCCTTCTCCTCTTTTCCCTGCCTTACCTAATCTCCCTATTTTGTTAATAACTGTGACTTGATCGTGATTCCGGTGATAAAATTCTGGTGATAATTTTAATCTGAGGAAGGCGCCTCTGGATCCTTTACCTTTGTGACAACCCAGGAGACACAAAAGGTGTCTTTAGGAATATCTTACTCCTACCTCTGCTTCTCAAACACTGCTGCTGCCCTAGGGCATGTGCTGGCCACAAGGAAGGGCTGTTGCTCACTAACTCTCCAGTGCCTATCCCACTACAAATTGGACAGTAACGCCATGCGAGTGGCCTACCTGCTGTCTGTTTTGATACATTCTCCACTCATGCAGAGTGGAGTTTAACACATATTTATTGGATGGAGAAGGAAAGTCTAGCAGTTTTAGCAGCTGACTTAGTAAAAGGACTTTGCTGGTTTTTTTTTTTTTTTTCTTGTAACATTGTCTCTTCAGGCACATGGAGAGATGACATAATTGACCCCTAATGTCATATCAACCGGATGGCCGGATTCTGTTCTCCTACCGTGTGATCTCCAGCTGTACACAGGTGCTCTCTGTAGTAGAAGCCAGACTCTTCCGTCACAAATCCCAACTTTCCATCCCTTTCTATGGTAAAATGTGGAGTGTTACATAAAATGGCTAAGTTAAACTCAAAATCACTTTCCAATTGAACATAGAGTTTAGAAAGAAATTGTAAAATACCAACCATTGTGCATACATGTTTTTCTTTTTCTTTTTTGAGGTAACCTTAGTTTTCACTTGATAGGTTTCAGGTCTACAGTTTCTCACCCAAGCAGAACACCCATGACACCACACCCACCACTAAATGTCTGGTCCCCATTGACCACCCACCAGCGGGCCCTGCTACCCACTCCTCCTCCCTGTCCCGCCTCCCTGCCATCCATTTTTAGGCATCTCAGGATTTATTTTTGTTTTGTTTGCTTTTTTTTTTTACTTGTTGATTTCATTCATTTATGGAATATAATTTGATATTTGTCTTTCTCCTTCAGACTTATTCCACCGAGCATTACCCCTCAAGGTCCACCCATATGACTGTAAAGCATGTATATATTTTATACTCCCTATTTTATACTCATTTTAACAGACACCTAAGAGGCTATGTACTGAAGGAAAATTTCTACAGTGAAAAAATGAATAATTTCTGTTGGAAGCTCCCATTTCCCTCAGATTGATAGGGACTGAAGTCTGAGCTGGTGCAGCCACAGATAGATAAATACACTTGGAAAAAGTCATGGAGGCTACAGCCTGATTCTTTGTTGAGTTGGCAGGTGTCTCGGATCAAACCTTTCTTCTTTGCTCCTACAAATGAATGTATCCTGTATCCTCTCTGTCTTGCTTCTGGGCACATCTGAAAATAGAGATTTTGGAACTTTGCTAATTCCTGAGTAATGTTATAGGGGTAGATGACTACTTTTCCCTTGTAGAAAAAGTGAGTTCTGGGGAACCATTCAGAGAGTTTCACACACCAGTTTTCGCTATTTGATGATTCTTGACTGAATCAGTTATTACTTTGATGGTTGAAAAGTGTAGATTTTCTAACTCCACTAGTCCTTTCTTATTTGTTATTCGTAATTCATTAGGAAAGGGAGAATTTTTTCTCTATGTGTATATTTTTCCATTTCTTCATGGACTCTTAAATTTTATCTGATTGAGTTATGATTTATTCTCATCATTATTATTATTATTTTAAAGATTTATTTATTCATACAGAACTGGGGTACAGGCCAGAGATGCAGAGGGTGAGAGGATTCACCAGAGACAGAGTGGGGAGCAGAGCAGGCAGATGGATGAAGTACACTGCTGAGGGGAGCAGCGGGCAGGTCAGAAGAGGTCTGCCACGCCATGTGGTCTCCTCCAGGGCAGGCGGGAATCGAACTCATGTGGAAGTGGCTTTGTTTTCTCAGTGCTGTGCTTTAACCCGCTGCACCACCAGGGAGGGCCTATTCTCATTATTTTGATGCTCAATTTATTCCTAATTTGTCCAG